AACTGAAAGGGAGGACTGAGGTCATGATAGTGGGGGTGAGGAAGTCTCAAGGAATATTGTGTTTCATTGGTTGACTTATCCCTTCCTTGTGACCCTTTCTTTTACCTTCCTCCTTTCCCACCATCATGCTCACTCATCTTTTGCCTCTTAGTAATTCTCTCAGCTAGATTGCTGTTACTCCAACACACCCCCAGGATTTCCACATCCTCCTCTTGTTGCTATTAATTCCCTGGTTGTTCCCCTGTCTATGGTGTTGTTTAGTCACCGCTCCCTTCCCTCCACCTCCTACTTCCCACAAGACCCTCCAGAACCGTTGGCCCACTTGCTTTCTCCTTGGGTTTGCTTCCCATGTCTATCTTATAGGCAAAACAAAAATACAGACAAAACAAAAGATTGAATAAAAAGAGGGGGGAAAAGCATAGATAATCCCTGATCTGTCCACTGACCTCTATCTTTTCACAGTGGTCCCAGGAACTGTTCCTCCTACCTGAAGTCTATTTTGGGTGCTCCTCAAGGGTTTTGTGGCTTTGCTTTGCTCCTGTTGCTGATATGTTCCCTTCTTGGTTCGCCCTACTGTGGGGGATTCAGACCAGACTCACTCCCCATCATGTGTCCCCCGTATTGTCTACTGACATGGTATGTGCCAGTGAGGGGACATCAAGTATTGAGCTGGTATAGGCCTGACAGCCCTCTCTCTGTGCCTTAGCAGCTCCATACAGGGACTTCATCCTCAGGCCTTGCTGACCTTCACTCTCTCTTTCCTTCTTGGTTTGCTTTCATGTGGGCTTGGTAGGCCGGCCCCTCCCCGCAACCTGCAGCCTTAGTGTTGCCTTCTGTAGCATATACTTCTAAGGCCGGGGTCAGTTTGGCTCTGACTGGGCCGACCCTGTCGCCTACCCACTCAGTGCATTTTGGTGCCCAACAGTGACATGGGGCTCAAGCTGCTCACTTTCAAGGGCACTCTCGCGGCCTAGTAAAAAGTTATGTGGTGGGCTGCAGTGGCTTAAACTCACTAGCTGCTTTGCTTTGCAGGAGAAAGATGAGGCTTCCTGTTCCCATCAAGAGTTACAGCCTCAGAAACCCATAGGACTAGCTCTGCTCTGTCCTACAGGGCTGCTCAGAGTTGCAATTGACTCTACGGCAGTGAGCTCTTTTACTTTTCCCCATACAAAATCTGAAATCAAGTGTATTTTATATTTATAGCACTTCTCAGTTCAGACTCTCCACCTTTCTAGCATCTCTCATCTCCTTTGGTTAGTGGCTACCATATTGGACAGTATAGACACAGCTTTTTGAACATGAGTTATAAAAACCCATTTGTAGGAATCCGATTGTGGTCTTATCCATTTATTTCTGTCTGGCTTCTAAGATCTCTTGGGTAGGATGAGTTCCCTCTTTCCTTTCTTTCTGTATCTGAATTCCTCTTGTAATCTTTCACAGGGTTATTTTCTTCACGTAGTCTCTCTGCCTTCTAATTTGTGCTTGCCTCTCTCTTCTGCTTCCTCTCCCTTCTCTATCTTTTCCTTAAACTTCCCTCTCCCCATTGTCCTTCCCAGAGTCCTCCCTCCTTTCGCCTTTTCCTCTCTCCCTCCTTTCCGCTGCCTCCCACCATATCACTTTTTCTTTCCTTTCTGTTCCCTTCCTTTCTTTTCCTGCTCTTCAGACTCACAGTGTCCTTCTTCATCCCTGCTCCTCCTACTCACCTTCCTTGGCTCCTTTGGGTGGGGTGGAGGTCAGAGGGGCAGGGCAGGACTGACCATTGTCATCAGGTCTGACCTGCTGACGTTATAGCCTGTGAAGGTCTGTTGGTTGCATTTCAGAGACTTGGTGTTTCCAGGGTAAGGTGTGATACCCCCATACCCCTTAGTTTTCCATTTGTCTTATGCTTCCAGATGATATTTTTTAATTATTTTTATGCAGTCGTATATTTCTTTGCTTGATGCTTCAGGGCTTTGAAATTTCTCCCATATCCTCTCTTAGCAGTTTGTATATTTCTTCACACAGAGAGTAATCTATAAACATTTATGAACTGATGTAATTTAATATGGTCTCTATAAAGTTTAAAAGATAATTTACTTCAACTTCTTTTTTTGTTATTGGAGCTAGACTGGAACTTGAATTATGACTTTCACCTTGCTTCCTGTTGCAGAAGTATGAAAATTTAAATTATATCATTGACTGTAAGAAGCATGTCCTGCTTCTACTCTACACTCGGTTTTTCTTGGTCTGTTAGAACCTGAGGCACAAAGTTTGCAGCGACCCTTTTCATTCCCAATTCTCCCTTTAAAATTTGCTGAACTGAGCTCCAGGATAGTCCAGATAACTTCTTCATCACGTTCATGGTTCATTAGTCTTTAAGCACAAGTACACGAATTTTGCTCTTATATTTGTCCGGGAAGTTGATGGACATCCAGAAGTAGGTTTGCCATCAGTCAACATTTCACCTTTTTTGAAATGAGAAAAACCACTCTTACACTTGAGTTTTTCCCATAGCACTGTCCTTGTAAGCTGTGTTCAACATCCCAACAGTTTCTGCAGCATCCCCCCCCCCCCAAACATAAAACAAAATTTCACAGCCACATGCTGTTCTCTTTAAGTTGGCCATCTCTAAAGACAAGGTTCAAGCAAAACTGCTTTTATGAAAAAATTCACTGGGACCAGAGAGAACCTTCCCAGGTGATGATGCTACTTGGTGCACTAACTCAGAGAGAGTTGCTTGATGCTCACCTAGCAAGTAAAATCCATACTACCAAAGATCTGCCTAGCAGAGCTTTTTCCTATTTTTTTTTTTTGGTGGGGGTAGGATACCCCTTCATATGTGTTTTCAGATCCTTTTTTTTTTTTCTTCATTTATGCTCTCAAGTACCTTCAAAATCATCCAACAGATGAAATAACAGAACCTTTTAACAAACAATTGAAAAATTAAGAGTATTTTTTACCACACTCCAGAATTTTAAATATTTTATAGGAATGCGAGTATAACATTTTAGACAAAAACCTATGAAGTAGAGCTTTTTAGTTTGCTTTTGCCTGTTCATATATTTACATAATGTTTTCCTACCACGTAAGTTGAGAATTTGTCTTCTTTGCCACAAATGTGAAAATGTTGGGATATTCGAGAGCAGCCACTTAGGCCCCAAAATAATTTGAGAAACTCTTGTGTGATTTTTATGCCAAAACAAAATATCAAATTCACACATAGATGAAATATTTACAAGAACAGAGATGCCTTATCAGTTTCCTGGGGGACTGGGGATTGCTCGTAGGTTTAAACAACCTAGCTTACCACCATTTACCCATCAGTACCACTGGAGCTCCCATGAAAATATTAGGGTGTCTACAAGTTAAATAGGAGTTCTACAAGTAGAAATGCAATATCTAAAAATTAAAAAACAACAACCCTCATTAAATAGCCATAATAAATTACACTTATTTTATGACAGGTCAGTAAAAAATATACAGCTGAAGGACTTGAGAGAAAGGTGAATGGGAAAAAACTCAGAATGTAACGAATTTAGAGATTAGGGGTATGAATTGATGTGCTAACTGTGAGGTCAGGTGTTCAAAACCATGTGGCACTCCATGGAAGAAAGATGACCCTGTCTGCCCCAAAATGGCTTTCCACTTGATGCTAGTGATTTGGGTTTGTTTTGTTTTTTTCAATAGAAATTTATAATGTATAATAGAAGTTTATAATTTGTAATTCAATAGAAGTTTAAAATACCTATAACCTAAATTTATAAACCTATAACCTATCATTTATAATACCTATAACCTATGATACCTATAACCTATAATGAATTAGCAGAAAGAAGAATGAATCAGACAGAAGCCATTTTTAAGAAATATTACATCAGAATTTTCCAATACTGATGAAAGATATCAACCAAAGCTCCAGGAAGCTCATCTTTGCATGAGCAGGATAAATAAAAGAAAATGACACCTAGACACAATCAAGTGAGATGAGTGAAAATACACATTCACTCACAGTCTTCAAAAGAGCCCAAGGGGGAGGGGGGAAACACCATATTTTCAGAGGAGCATGTAATAAGATTTACCTATGACTTCTCAACAGAAGCAATGGAAACCACCATGAACGTCTCTGAAGGAAATACCAGGTTATCTATAATTCTGCATCTTGCAAAACTATCCATAAAACTGAAAATGAAATAGTCACTTCTAGCCAAAAATCCCAAGAGAATCTTTTTATCAGCAAGTCCAGATTAAACGTGAACGCCAATAAGTAAGTCAACAGCAATAACAAAGAAAAGTTAAGTTCTTCAGGTGGATAGAAGTTCTTCTATCAAGGAATCTCCTAAATGAAGAAAGGATAGAAGAGTAGTAGAAAGGATAAATAAATGAGTAAATATAAACCGATCTTGACTAAATAAGGATTGTGAGAAAAGACTAAATATAAGGACAGTAAGTCCTAACAAAAAAGAGTAATTATTGAGAGGGAAACTGGGGTAATAAAATATATTCTGTTAATTCAAAAGGACAAGAAAGGAGAGAGGTAAAGCTAACGGTAGGTAAAATAGAAAAAGATACGATGTTGCATACAAGTCTACAAATTTGAATGGTAGTAACATGTATTTTAAATTTCCTTACAGAAAAATGCTGTGTTTCCTAGTCTAATCATGCTTGTTTGGTATTGTCAAGTTGATTCTGATCATAGTGATCCTATCTACAATGGAACAAAACAATGCCACCCTCACAATTATTCTTATGTTTGAAGCCTAGTCATACTGGTATGCGCACAAACAGACTCAATTATGACTTATAGCAACCCTATAAGACAGAATTGAAGTACCCTATAGGTTGTACATCTTCGTAGCTGTATACTGCCTCTTCTTTCTCCTGTGGAGCAGCTGATGGGTTTCAACTTTCAATCTTTTGACTAGCAATTGGCTAACCCACTGTACCACCAGGGCTCTTAAATGTATAGAAGTAGACAAAAATATACAGAACATATACACATGCTTGTTTTGTTTTTCTTTCAGCTTCTTTGTGATATTGGCTACAGCGAAGAAAAATTGGGTTTTAACTATGAGGATATAATAATTTGGTAAGTGCTCTTCTGTTCCCTGCTTTCCCTTCCCTTCCCTCCCCTACCCAGATTTTAGTAGTGTTAAACTTGAAACATGGTAATACTGTACTTTCTGTTCTATTTTGTAGAAACAGTTTAAATATTTCCAAAGTTCATAATCTTAAAAAACTTGCTACCATCTGAATTTCAATGGTAGTTTATAATTATCAAATTGGATGAACCAAAGCCAATGTTGAAAATTGGTGGAGTCATCTAATTTAAACTACTGTTTTGAAACCAGAATTTTCAGATTAATAGTTCCCATATTCCTCTACAAAGAGAGCTTGTAAAATTATCTTTAGGGGGGAGGAGATGAGCCAGTCAGGGTGCGATGTAGCAATGAAACATATAACTTTCCTCTAGTTCTTATAAATGCTTTCTCCTCCCCCACTATCATGATCCCAATCTACCTTACAAATCTGGCTAGACCAGAGGATGTACACTGGTACAGATAGTAACTGGAAACACAGGGAATCCAGGATGGATGATCCCTTCAGGACCAGTGATGTGAGTGGCGATACTGGGAGGGTGGGTTG